GGGAAGGAATAACCCCAAGTACCAGTACAGGCTGTGGGCTGACCTACTAGAAGGACCTGGGAGTCTTGGTGAGTGACAAATAGACCATGAGCTGGCAGTGTGCCCTTGTGACCAGGAGGGCAAATAATATCCTGGTGTGCATCAGGAAGAGTGTGGCCAGCAGGTCAAGGGAGGTAATACTCCCCTTCTACTCAGCCCTAGTAAAGCCACATCTGGAATACTGTGTGCACTTCTGGGCTTGTCAGTACGAGAAAGACAAGGAGCTACTGGAGAGGGACCAATGGAAGGCTGCAAAAATAATTAGATGTCTGGAGATCTCTCTTATGAGGAGAAACTGCAGGAGCTGGGCCTGTTTAGTCCAGAGAAGAGAAGATTGAGAGGGGATCTCGTTAATCCATAAAAATATCTCATTACCACATGCCAAGAGATTGGTGCCAAACTGTTTTTAGTGGTGCCCAGTGACAGGATAAGGAACAATGGACATAAACACAAGAAGTTTCACCTCAACATGAGGAAGAACTTCTTTACGTTGGAGGTGTCAGAGCACTGGAACAGGCCACCCAGGGAGGTTGTGGAATCTCCCTCTCTGGAGACATTCAAACCCCACCTAGACAACGTTCCTGTGTAACATGCTCTAGATGACCCTACGCTGGCATGGGGGTTGAACTAGATGACCTCCAGGGGTCCCTTTCAACATAACAATTCTGTGATTCTGGGTTTGATCTGACAAGCTTTGGGGAAATCTTTTGTTACAGGTACACTGGCTATCAGCGTTTGGGACTCCAGTCACGTCCAGCTTCTCCAGGAAAGGTTCACTTCTAATTAAATCAGTAAAAGACAAAACCTCAGTTATTGTTTGCTTTGTTTTGTTTTCTGGAGTATAACTGGCAGTATAACATGCTGAAAGCATGTACACTTATTCATCCTGCCAACTGAACTTAAAAACCTACCCTTTCATTGACTTCAGTTCCCTGAAACGTACTCAGGAACCTCTGAGATTGCCTCAGTGTGGATGTACGTGGATGAGCACAAAAGGTCTTCCACCTGTGAAATATATTGCCTGTCTAGGCAAACTCTCAAATATGGTGTGTCTCCTCTTCCAAAAGGGATGAAAGAGGGACCCACCTTCCTAATGCTAATGTATTACTTTCTATTTCCTACGTATTTATTCCTTGCTGAATGAAACCTCCTCTCGCCCTTTTATTCCTCAGCCATGCCTTCACAAAAATAGATTGAATAGGGTACATATGCTGGATCCAAAATGTTGTAGATTCATAAGAAAAAGTAGTTTGGCTAGTACAAACTCAGTCTGTGGATCCAGGTTTGTTCAAAACAAAAGTATTTAAAGAATAGTTAAATATTCTGGCAGGTTTTCTGGCAAATCACATATAACCTGTCCTCCTGCAGTGACCATGAAGCCAGAATAAATACTGTACTGTGTGTTCTAGCTGATTTGACAGAAATGTGGTCATACTGTCAGGCCTGAGCCAGTCCTGTGCCGTACTAGGAGGTGATCTGGTTGTGTACAGCTCTGGTATTCCTGAACACAGAAACACAGCAAATAAAACTAAATCATCTTTTAATCCTCCACTTAGAGTTGCAAGGGATTTCTAAGAGTACAAATCACACAGCATGGATTGTTTTGTCTTTTCTCAGTTCTGAGTGTTTTGTAAGAGGTCCTCAATTCCTTCTTCAGTTTTTCTGGGGTCTTCTACTGACAAGCTCCAGGGCGCAGCATAGAGTACTACAGCAAATTCCTGACTATCCAAACATTTTATTTTGCTGTGCCTGCAGTGAGGAGAAGCTTAGCAATGGAAACCTACAGTTTAATTATTTGCTTTCAGAGTTACTGGCTTTTCTTCAGTGTAAACAAAACTGTTTTTTGTGTAATTTGTTGCCAGAAACAATGTCCAAAGTAATTTAGTAGATGGTCTAATAGCTTTCAAATTAATAGTCCAATAATTTCCCATACTGTTTAACAGTCCTGGAGAAAATCCCTGAATTAATGTGGTTACTGTTGTTACTCTCAGTGTCTGTGGTGTGCTCCATATGCATACATTCCGGCACTAAAATAAATGCTTGTCGAGTCCTAGCTCATACAGCCCATGCTGCTCTGCTGGGCTCTAAATCTGCAGTACATACAATCATCTGTGTTTTTTTAATTTATTTATGTGTGTGTGTGTGTGTGTATGTGTGTGTGTGTTTGTGTAACAATTTTTATTTTCTCCACTTTACTGGAATACTGACTACCTACCTCAAATTTTCATTAGGATACAGGAAAACATCTTCTTTTACAATTTCCAGGTATTTTCTCTGTCTTTCCAGCACTCTGGAGTGTTTGAAATCCGGTTTCATCAGGGGACTCAGAATCTAAAATTTCAAAATCAATTCTCTTTGAATCTGCCTTACAAGGAGAAATTGTGAACTATTCTGTTATTTCCTGTCTGACGCTCTATGCCATCCATATGGTTTTTTCAACTTCCTGTGGAATGTATAATTCTTCAGATAGAATTAAGCTTTCTCAATGTTCTATTCTTCCTGAAGAAATTATTAAACTCAGAGTTATTACACCCATCCATTCCTGCAGACAATGGGAACTTCTTTGCTGCTTCCCTTATTTGCAAACTTCAGAAGATTATATTTTCTTTGGTTATCCTCTTTACTCACAGAAAAATTAAGGTGTGAGGGGTTTCTAAAATTCATTCCTTCCACTCAGATCTTTTCCCAGCTTTTTTTTTGGTGTGTGTGTGTGTGTGGTACATCTAAGTTTCAGTTTTCCCCAGAGGCAGCGGTTTTTGCTAACATATGTTTTAGTTGGTGCCCAAATTCAACTCAAAGTGTCAAATGAAGATGGAGGAACACTCCATCAGAAAGGGCCAGACAGAAGCAGCCACATCCAGTAAAATAGAAGGATTGCAAATGTCATCAGCAGGAACTGAAAGGTGGAATAGGATCGAGCTTTACCCTGCCTCAGCCTCTAAAGCCTGTGGTTTAGGGAGGCTGCAAGGGCATGAAATAGCTGCAACCTCATTCCTGAAGCTGGTCTCTCTGCCTGTCTTCCACAGCTGTTCATTATGTGATTTATTCTGGAGAACTGAGGAAGGATGTCATAAGTAAGGAGACAGTGGTAAAAACCAGTATAAAGCTTTCTGTCTCACAGGTCAGGGCTCATTTTAGTACAATGATGGGGAGGGAAGGTTAATTCATCACATAGTATAAAATATTAACAGAGGAAAACAACATCTAAAACAATAGCTAGCCTGTGTTACAAGACATATAGTCTTACAATAACATGACTCTATATACGTATTCACTACCAAAAGCCACCCATGCTCACTTGATAATGAAAAAAAGACACCCTTTCAAAGTATACTGTTTCTGTGAAAAGGTACTACATAGGCACCAAGATTTACCCCATAGACATATAGGGAGCAGGAGGTAAAGGATGTGAAAAGGGATGTGATAACAGGCATGGAACAAAGCAAACTGAGCTGACATTTTGAGCATGATTGCATTCTAATATATAGCCAGCAAAACTGGACAGGAAATGTAATTAATTCAGGTTTTCTTATGCCCTTCACACTAATTCTCGCCTCCAGGCAGGCCAGATATTCCACCAGAACAGTCTCTTTAGCTTTCTGCAATGGAAAGAACAAGGAAGTATGAAAATGCACAAAAATAAAGAGACCAAAAATAATTAGTTGAGTGTTTTCAATCTTTTAAAGAGAGTGGTTCCCAATGCAATGTGGGTACCACTTTATTTCACCTTGTTTTTCTTTATTTTATCCATCTTCAATATGAATGATAGTCCTATGGCATAAATCTCACACGCAAATCTTAAATTTCCTAACTTGGGGTATGTCTAATCTAAGGATTTGATTCAGGCTGGGTATAAATAACCTCTGGTATGCATCTTACTTGTATGTCAAAGTTTGAGGTGCCTGAAACTAGGCTTGGAGGCATCTTAGTCGTATGTACACACAGAGAATGAAAAGACGACTCACTTTAGAATGAACCCAAATGTCATGAAAAAACCCCTTTAGATTATGCAGGAGTGTATTGGGTCTGATTGGGATGGAGTTAAACTTCTTCACAGCAGACAGCACGGTTTTGTGACCAAAACACTGCTGACAACTCACCCACTCACTGCTACTACTGAGCAGTGCTTGCACAGCCTTTGAGGCCTTCTCTGTTTCTCACTCTGCTTGCTACGGGCAAGGAAGCCAAGGATGGGCAAGAGTCAGGGAGGGGACACAGCTGGGACACCTGACCCTAACTGACCATCTAACATCATGCTTAGAAATAAAGACTTGGTGATAATTTTTCCAAAGTAGTCATTGCTCAGAGATTGGCTGGCCATCAGCCTGCTTTTGGGAGGTGGAGATTGGTGGTCTTTTAATCATTTGCGTTTTGCTTTTTTCTTTTTCTGCTTTTCCCCTCTTCACTTATTAAACTGTCTTTATCTTGACCCATGAGGTTTTTCTCACATTTTCTCTTCCAATCTACTCCCCCATCCTGATGAAGGGGGAGTGAATAAGCAGCTAGTGAGTGCTTAATTGCTGGCCAGGGTCAACCCACCACAAAGATTAAAGCATATAATTTTTCAGAGAGAATAAAAGAAAATGTAATTATTTGTCTGCCAATTCTGTCAAACAGAAGCATAAATGAAACATTAATCATTTTTCAAACCAGGATATGTTCAGGGGCCAGGCCATACTCCACGGCCATGCTTCAGCAGGTAATAAACATTTCTCTCAGGTGCCATTCCTTTATTACTGGACACTAGATTTGGATAGCCTTGTTAGGTTTCCGCTCTGTAAAAATGGGCCTCCTAAATATGAACAGTTTTATCACTGTTCATGTCTCAAGAACAGATTTAAAAATAGGCATACAAATCTTTTGCTCCTCTACAGCAAGTGCATTATCCAGACATGAAATTTCACAACACAAGAATTGGACAGGTAAGTATGTTTTATTATCCCATTTTAAAGATAAGGAAATCAGGAAAAAGACATGGAGTGTCCTGTGCAAGGCCACAGTAAGTGCTGCAGTCAGGGCTGGCTAGCTTCCCTTTCTCTAAACAGTGCCTTCAGGTCTGTATATGACACTGTGCTTCTGACAATAGTCATGTGAGTTTCCTTCTTTGTTTCTTTGGGAATCCTGAGATAGCAGAACTTTTGGAGTAGCCTATGTTTGATGCAATGTTTGCTACAATTACGTTAAAAATCCCACTGACAATTACCTCTCCTGCATGACTCTTATATCAATTTGTGCAACTCAGAAAGGCCAGAGAGGTGCATAGTTTAATTTTGTTTATTTATACCTGCCAATTTAATCCTTTCTTCAGTAATTAAACAATGGGACTGTTTCCCCTCCCCCTTAATTAGTCACTGGTTCCTTAAACTGAACGGCAATGATCATAAGAGTTTCTTCTTTCATGTTATAGTAAAGGACTTTGAGATATTTTTTCTCCTAAGTCGTTGTTGAATTTGACATCAGTTCTATTCATCACAGAACTAGCTGCAATTAGAACAATTATGCAGATCACGTCTTTCCAGTTTAATAGCTGGTTTTTGTTTTGTTTTTCTTTTTTCCTTTTTTCCCCCCTCTTACCACAGCTTCTCTAAGCTAAAGAGGAGGATAAGGAAAGACAGACAGACACTCAAGTAGACCACCTACTGACTAGGTCCCACCATGGAACTGGATAATTTGTTAAATACCTTTGAGCTGGAGGAAATTCCTACGGGGTGCCTTGCATCTCAGCTTGCCAAAGGTCATAATCACAACAGCACCCCATGCTCTCTTTCTGCTTCCCAGGCAGGAAGGGGATGGCACACTCTGCAAACACTGATAAACCCCTGTTCTCTGTGAAGTGGTTTAGAGTGGCTAACTAAACCAAACTATGAATCAGAAGGGAAGCAACACAAAAAAAATTAGCAAATATAAAGTAGCCTGCATTGTAAAGCAGCCTGGATGTCTCAGGCACCTGTTTATTTAGCCCCTGTCTCACTAAGAAAAAAAAAGCAAGTCAGTATTTAAGACATACAGCACAATATGAGCTTCCAGAGCACCTTTCAAAAAATATATCCTCAGTCACACTAGATAATTCTATTCATGTGAGATCCAGATCTTTGAAGAGCAGTGTTAACAAATTAAAAAACCCACTGTCCTGCAAGGTGTAGTTACAAGCATAATTCTGGTCCTAGAGGCCTCCTTCCTCAAAAAAAAAAAACAACAAAAAAACCCCAAAACCACAAACAAACAAAAAAAGCAAACCCAAACCCAAACCAAACCAACAAAACCAAACCACAAAAACAATTTAAAAGCCTGAGTACTGTCCTCAAATACTTAACTAAAAGGAAAATTAGCAGACTGAATGTCATCTGTAACATGATTATTTATTGCCTTGTCAACAATGCCTTCTAGTCCTGTTTTTTCAAAATAGCTATTAAGAAAATATATCTAATTACCTGTGAGGCAAACAAAAGTATCATGTCCAGGCTTCAAAATTATACACATACTTTAAAAACAGGTAAGTTAGTCTGAGACATCTCCTAAGTAAGTTACTCTGAAACATCTTTTAACCTTACAAATAAAATGGAGCCAGGCAATTGACCGCCCCTAAAAAAGATCATGCTGGAAGAATATAACGAACTGTTGGCATATCAGTTGTATTTTATACTTGTATCCAAAATTTTAAAAATACCTGAACATATCCTTGAAAGAAATCTGATGGCACAGATATTGTATCTTCCATATGAACCACTTGGCTGCATGTGAGAGCTCAATTAGCAGCAAATGTTAGGCATAAGTTTGCAAAACAGATAACATTTCAATATAGTAAGAGCAAAACCTTGAAAAATTTGCTTTTTAGATATGTGGAATTTTGCTTGTAGACATCAGGTGAAGGTATTTATGAGGTTAAACAGAATTGGTTTTATTATTTGTTAGTTCTAGGAGTGCAAAAATATATCTTACATGTGTGTGTATTTATCCAGCCTTTTATCCCCTCTGTTCCCCTCCCTGAATAGCTCACAGACAGGGGATACATCCACATCAAAATGTGAAATAAATATTCTAATTATAAAGGTCTGACAATGAGCTGCTGTACTCACATTGTCAGAACCTCCAGCACAGTACATCCCTTTTGTATTCTCTTGCTGGAAGAAACAGATCCAAGGAGGTTCAAATTTCACAGGTCATTCTCCTTCTGAGACTGTAGTAAGAAATGGATAATATAGGCAATTCTACATCTTAACAACTTGGGGACCTGCATCTGTCTTTTGAGATAATTTGCAACTAGTATAAGATAATGCAGGATAAAAAAAATAAGGAGGTTTGCGGTAAAATTGATGGAGTTTATAGGTGAGCTGTAAGCTATCTTCTGTATGTCTCCATATCTTCCTATTCTGTAAGCTATGCCAAACAACTGCACGAATAGGACTGGATTCACAGGTAAATAAATACATTACAGACACATATACAGACTTTCTCTAACTTGGCCTGCATCTGTATATGGGACTGATTTTAACAGCCTTTAATAAAATGTCTCTTATTAATGTCAAATGGCTATTAATCATATCACTGATCAAGCAGTTTGACACTAATGAGATTTATTTTAGTAAGGACTTCCTAAAAGTTTGCGTTTAGATCTTGAGGTTACTTGAGCTATAGCAAAAGCCCATGTGAAATGCATGGAACAATGATATTGCCTTTAATTAGGCCGCAAATTATTTGAGTATTTATGATACTTTGACAGTCAATGAAGGACATCAGTTTTCTGAACATGTTTGAAAAGGGCAGTGTAAGCTTTTAACTTGACATGTCTAATGCACAAGAAGCTCTTCATCTACTTGCAGCTTCTGTATATCCAGACAAACAAAATGAATAATGTCGCCTGGAGCTTCCAGTGTGTTATAGCAAGCAAAAGGTCTGCAGGAGAAGGAAAATCTTAGTTATGTTTGTAATATACAGTTTCACACAGGCAAGCATGATAGACATGAGAGGTGGCTCACAGGGTTATGAGATGACCTCAAGTCACCCCTTGTCATTTTCATGGTCTTCTCCTAATGCACACAGGAGGAAAGGGGCAAGGAGCAATGCAATAGCACACATCAAATATGTCTGGGATTTAGCTGTGCTGTTGCATTGAGGTACTATATGCTGCACTTGGTATAAATTCAGTATATCTATTAGTTACCATTTTCTCAAATTGCTTTCCCTGGTTGCTCCAGGGGCAGCATAGTAGCCTAGTTTTCCTAATAATGATTTCATCATAAAGCCAGAATTCTGCTCAGATGATTTCAGCAGTTTTTCACAGAATGTCCAGCTACATTTCTGAATGTAACTTTTCTGATTTTGGCTTAGTTTGTTTCATGCGTACTTAGAGGTGGTTTTCCAACATTTATGCAACATGTTATCTTAAAAAAAAACCTTCTTCGAACATCTGGAGATAAAACTTTTGAAATAACAGTCACATTTTCATCATTTTTAGAGTCTGTCAGGCTTTGAGTTTCACTTTCTTGCCTTTCCAAGAATAAAACTGGTAATTTCTTCTGAGTTTTATCAGGTCACTCCAATTTTCTGTGATAGTCCCTGTGAATGGATTTCATTATCTAAAAAGAAGTTTCCTTGAGACATTTAGTTGCTACAGCTGGCTTCCATGTGTTAACGTCTCATCCTGATAGCATCTCTCTGTGATACTAGAGATGAAAAGCTTGCCAATTGTGTTATATTGTTTTCTTTGTTTATGTTCTCCATTTCATCCTCACCTGTGGTATTACTGGAGCTAAACAAAGCATGTTCTGTTGGAGGAGGAATTCTTGTTCTCTCTCTTCAGCAGTATTCAAGCATCATTTCCTGTAGCTGCAGTAACAGTAACAATATTATTCAGAAATGGTTGCACCATCTTTGTCATCTTGAGACCATCTTGCAGTAGTGTCAACAAAATGTGTCCGCGCATCTGAAGAACCTGAATCAGGAATGAATACATTTGGACTCACTCCAGAGATAGTCAGCCAGTGTGGTAGTTATGTGACCTGAATTAGTGCCCTCCCACAAGTATGCTGGAAACACATCACTCTGATTCAGTGAGCTAGATACTGCTCGCTATATACTCATGTAAAGCTAGATTATTTCTTCTGATGACAACAGAGTCTGATATACAGTTAACCAGAAAACTGTCCAGAACTAGAGCTCACCAAGCAACTCAGAACATAAAACTGACCAAGTGAGCACAGGACCGAGTGAGCACAGCATATTGCTGGATTCCTCTGCCACACTGGAAGTAATAAGGCTGAGGGTTTAGTTCATTCTACTTTTTACTAAATGCCTACTAGAAATTGTCATTTCTTATTCGTTATTTTAGGGCTGGGAAAGATTATATTTCTTCTGGTTTTGTTTACTTCATGGATGGATGGATAGATGAAGTAAAAAGTGAACCAAGTGACACAGGGTATACCAAAATCCATCCATGCTGGCAAGTTCTAACTGATTATGTAAATCAGAGGGTATTACTTCTCTCTCTGATGGTACAAGTATCCTCTGATCAGAAGGAGGTCTTCAAAAGGCCCAGTCTTTTTTGCCTCTCAGGGAGAGCTAGCATGGATTGAACATTTTAAGGTGCTGTCTCTCAGGATCCCACAGACCTCATCCAATCCATATTCTTAGAAAATAAATTGATGATTATAAGGTTAATTTGCTGCATAGCGCTTCAAAATGAACGTTTTAATGTCACATTCACATAGTGTGCGTATCTGTAAGCATGATTTTGTTGCATTCGTGAGATGCTCATGAAAGGTTCAGGGAACTGGTATATTGGTGGTGGTGATAAGCTATAAACTGTACATACATTCCTTACATTGTGAACATTCAAGTTTAGGGCTATGACCTAAAGAACTGTCAAAAATCGGTTCACTTTGCAACATGGAAACAACATCACATTCAGGGTGGCTCTCCAGAGATGCTTTTTTTCTTTTTAATTAAGATTTTAGCAGTGTTTTTGGGAACTGCTAACTACCAGAACTTCCATTCTGTACATTAAAGAGGTCCTCTGTCTCATATTTGTTTCATGGAATAAATGCATTTTACAGCATGAAGAAAAGCAGTGTAAATGTAAAGGGCCACAGAAAAGTGTCAGACTTTTAACAAGTATATTGCTCTGTTTGCTCTTCAGTTGCTCAGTTGCTGCATCAAGAATTTAAAGATACAAATATGTGGCTCTGAATTACCCAACTGAGGAATCAACACAGAAGAGACAAAAAGGAACTAAGGCTGACAAGAAGTGAAGAAATAGTATAGTGTTTATGAGTGCACACATCCAAATCCCTCTTCTCCCTCACAGGTTGCTTCTTCCAGTGCTGGTTTACACATAAATATCACTGTGCTGAAGATTCACCAGTGCTGTAACTTCTGATTCACAGTCACCATTACTGTAGGACTCTGCACTTTGAACATGGACTACCAGTTCGAGGTACCAGGTTATTCTCTATCATGAAAAGATTATACCTTAGGGAGGATTTCTCAGCAATTCTGTATTACATGCCATCATGGTCATTCCCATTCATGAAAACTTTCAGCTACAATGGTCCTTGTTTTCCATAGTAAACAGAGGAGAGCACAGAGAATAACATTCCAAGAGTAGGATGTACAGAATAGATGTCTTGGAAATGAAGGGCAGAAATGATAAGATGGACAAAGAGCAAAGAAAAAAATCTTCCCACCAGCAGAAAGATGAGCAGAGTAGGAAAGGGAGATAAACTACAGAAATGGGGGGGGGGGGGAGAAGAAAAAGATATCACCGAATATTTTGAGTTGGAGGGAATTGGCAAGGATGATATGAAGAAGAAAAATTGGGAAAGGAAAGAACTTTCATCAATGGATTGTTTTGTCCTTTGCATGGAATTAAAGAACACTAAAGAGGCCCTGACAGAAACTGTCAGTACAGCTCTGGTCTTTCGTGGACAGAGTGCAGAGGCATCTGCAAAGATGTGCATTTTCTCTATCCATTGTAAAAGAAGCACCAGAATTGCCTCCTTAGCAAATTGACACAGCAGAGCGAGTTTCTGAGTTATGGGATCAGCATCATCCCTTTGGAAAGAAACTTTACAGTCACAGTATCTGTAGCTGGGCCGTTCTTACTGATGTCTATGTTTCTGCCCTTCATCTCCTTTTAGACTTAAAATCTGCCAGGATGTATCAAACATAGCTGAATCTCTTTCTATTTTTGTTTAAAACTAATAAACAATTAATGGGAACTTCCATTTTTGCAGTCTTGGCATTGGTTCAACTATACTACAACAGGGAAGAGCACATACAGTTCCACCTACTCTTCTGTTTGGTAAACTGTTTGACTTCTTCACTATTCAGGAGCAAGTTATCTGGTGAATGGTATCTTAGGAGAAAAGGATGTGCCACAGCTATGCCCTTGAACTCCATAAAGAGAGAATTATGACAGAATTATGACAGAGTTATAACAGAATTATTTATTATTCAAACACAAACAAATAGAGGCTGTATATCCTAAAATACCCCTTCTCAAACTCTTCCTTGTTTGGAATACAGAATTAAAAAACCTGCCATACTTCCTAAACTATAGGCTGGTGTTCTTCCAGTCTCCTTCCCCATTAATAAACTCACCACTTCCAGGTCATATCTTCTGTTAGACATTGGCTAAGTAGTAAATAAGATCTTTTTCAATTCATGACCCGATAAATTACACTGAACAAGTTCCATGCAAAACAGTGCAGGCATATAATTCAAAGGAATTGTACTGGAGGGAGTGGAGAGCCCCAAGTTAAAGGGATGCTCTTAAGCAACTACTTCTATTCATTATCTGTGGAAAAGGTGCTCAGGTTTTCTTACAGACTAAAGACATGACTTCTGCTTCCTCTCACAACAAGAGAGTAGAGAAGATAGAAGATTAAGTATAATCACTCTATCATCATGAAGTTAGTTACTTCATGTACATATTGTGACAATAGAGCACCTGAACAAAGATAAGGGAATCAGAACTCAGAAGACAATTGCACCTCCAAAGAAGCTGAATACTAGTGAAAGGTCTGCAGTAGTCTCTGAGAGGGTTTGGGGTACAAATGGAACCAGTCCAATTAAGGCTCATGAACTGAGGGTGCGCCATGCTGGAAGATGTGAGATTATACTTTTTCTCTTTGGGTAAGGACATTTAGCTACTATTTTTTAATGATGTTTTTGAAATTGCATTGGATTCCCACTTGCCATTGGCTCACCCTTTTTAGCCATATGCCATCAACAACATATTGGTGTGAGAAAAGCATAGTAGCATTTGATGGCGTCTATAACACTATAACAGGAAAAGAAAATCCTATAGATACTTAGAGTAGAGCTGAGTCAGTTTTATAGAAAAGGGTAGCTACAATAACTCTGGCTCAGGGGATAATTTAGAAACAAGTTAACTGGAATGTTAACTCCAGTGAACTTGGGTGAATAAAACCTTAACTTCTTTCATATGGATGTATTCACTCAGATAAGTTATTTCAGAAAAAAAGGTCTTTCTACCATCACTTTGAAGGGGCCTATGATAATTTCCATAGTTAAAATTCATAGTCAAACACCATAGATGTTGGTTTTATACTTAGTTTTTCCATACATTTGAGATTCTATCATTGAAACTTTACAATCCAATGAGAAGTTGGAGACGGAAAATGTGCAGTTGTTCTTCTGAAAAGAACTCAGTCTTCAGTGTTATAGGACACTGTGTCAGGCAATAACGTCAATTGAAAAGATTCCCTGCTTCCACCTTCCTTCTTTTCTCTCCATGCCTTAGCCATTCACCCTAGCTGTGCACTGTGTTTTATCACTACAGTTAGTACAGCTATTTACATTGTCAACTAGATCTCTGAAATAAAAAATAAAACAAATAAAAAGAGAAAAAGAGATATGCAAATTACAATTATTTTAATGACAGTTTGGATTTCAGCCCAAAGAGACACATTTGCACAAATGGAAAGAAGGCAAACAAGCATGCTGGCACAGGCATCAGTACAAGCAGAAGGAGTCTGATGGCTTTGCAACAAACACTAGTGTCTTTTCATATTATGCCTGCCAGTATGGTCATAACTATAAAGAGGTGGGAGCCACTGCTTCAAAAAAAGACAATAAGCACAATCAAAGATGGAAAGGTAAGAGTCACATTCTGTTGACAAGAGGAACAGAACAGAAAAATGGACAGTGCAGCCTTATTCATAAAATCAAAATAAAATCCACACAGCATATGAATAAGGCAGCATCAGTCCAACTTCAGTGATCACAAAAAGTGCAGACTCACACCTATTCCTAGGTCCAGACCCAAATTCTCATTCTCTACTACCAACAGACAAGAAATAAAGGATTCCGCCCTTTATTTCCTTCCACATATCACTGAGTTTCTGACAATAAATTGCCCAGGGGAAAATGAGGCTTAGGTTGGAGCACACCTTGACAGAGGACTGCTCTGCCAAACCTCTATCCCAATTTCTTTCTCTTCCTGCCTTTCTCCTGCCCCAGATTCTTCATCTCAATTGAGTACTTTCACCCATCCTTTTCACCCTCTACATTCAGGACAGAAGGCTTCCCTCCTCTGCATTCTTAGAAAAATCATTAAAAACTGCTGTCAATTATCATGTTCACTCCCACAGTGACCAACGAGAAGGGGGAACAACAACAAAAAGTCATGCTTTGCTGTGGACTGCATACAGGGTTAGGTATGTAGACCCTATAATCTACACACTAGGAACAGTGAGCCAGTGAGGGTGAGCAATCTCAAAGTATTGGCTGTTGAATGCAAAAAAAAAGTGTCTAACATACAGGTGAAAACTCTCACTCAAAATTTGGACATACATAGTGGCTTTTTATGAGAACAGTGAGGTACTCAAAATAGGGATCCTGCTTCAAAGGATAAGGATACAGGTATTTGCTAAAGAAAAAAACTACTAATAAAGTTGATCATATGTAAAAACAGTGTTTTACCAAAAAAAAACCCAAATAAGCAAAAAACCCCAAAACTTTATTCTTTTCAAAAGCATTTGAAGTTAAAAAACGTAAAATCAGAGGCAAGCCTGAAGCATGGAAAACTGCAGATGAAAGAACTGTGTACTAGCAAATTAGACCATATGGTGGCTGCTGTCAAGTGACCTAGCTGCACTGTTTATAAAAAACAGTAAAAACAGTTATTCTTGAAACTAAGGAAATCCAAATACTCCCTTGGATTCCAAACTATCCATCTAAGGCAATCTCTAAATGACTCCTGACACAACCTCCACTCTCTGAAGATCTCCCTTCTTTCATCTGTTATGGCCCAGACTCTCCCACTCCAAATGATGACATGTATCCCCAGTCCATTCTTAAAACATTCTCTGTTCCAGAAGGTCTTCAGGGGCAAGCACATCTGCTTGCAGGACTTCTTCCTGGAGGAACCTGAGCTGTCACTTTCTTTGAATTTATACGCATGCCCTCTGTGGTTTCCTCCTTAATTATGACCCTGGGGCACCTAACACATCTCTGGAGCATGGATCTGTGAAATATAGGAAAATCCTGGAAAGCTGAACCACAGCACAGAGGCTGCCAGAGCTGGCGACCCAGAGTGATTTTCAGGTTGAGAAAGAAATAGAAAGGCAAATGGTAGCGCAAACTACAGGGAAAAGTACTAACAGGAAAGAGTAAATCACTGGCAAATCAGTTTTCAACGATATCAAGCAAACAGGGAGGTAGAGAATGAATTTTCCTCCTTTCTCCCCTTTAAAAACAATCAAAGTACGTGGGAAGATGTTAGTTGCTAGTATAATACCAGTGCATAAGGGGAAAATGAATGAACTTAAGACAGAGAATCATTTAATTGGAAAATGTGGCTTTGGCTCTGCATTTTACTATTTCTATTTTATTAAGAAAACATCCATTTTAAAGGTAGGTGCACAGGTCTTGGTGAAAGAAAAAAGGAACTCCATGTTACTGTATGACTTTCTGTAAAGCATTTAACTTCTCATTTTTCAGTGAAAAAGAGAGTGACAGCTTCCTGACTTTTGCCCACAAAGTCAGTCAACTTTGCCTAGGTTCCTCAGAGAAAAAAATCTCACATTTACATTACTAAATTGCAATAGTACTTCTCATGTCCAAATTCCTTCAAAACCTGCAATGGATCTTCACAGCAGGTCTGAATTTCTGGACTGAATTTTTTAGACAATTATTTTAACTTTCAAACAAAAGGAAGTAGATCTACAGGTTGTTCAAAGATACTGTTGTGGCTCTACGATTTAGTCCAGTAAGGACAGTTCAGGCTTGATTGGACAGACAAGAGTTTTCTCTCACTTCCTCTAGGCAGGAGTACCTTCAGTAGTGGCAGTGCCTGGGCCAGCTGCAGCTGACCAGCTGCACCTTCTCTGGGCCCACAGGTGCTCTGGAGCTGGAAGTGGTTCCCAGCAAGCTTGCAGAGCTGCTGGCCAGCTGCACGGGGACAGGGACAGGGGAGCACTGGGAAGGCCGTCCTCCCCGTCTGGGTCTGGACAACCCCTCCTCTGCCAAAATGGCAGTCACCCACTTTTCTTTCTGCACTTGGTGACCATCGGACAGACGGGGTGTGGGGGAAAGCTCGGCATTAAATGACAATGTCCAGTGTCCGTAAAGAGAGGCCAACAGACGGGCTCACGACACAGCCCGTGGCTGCCGGAGAAGCGGCAGACAGGCTGTTCCTGTCCTGCCTGCTACTCAGGCTCACTCTCCCGGGGCCGGAAGGGCAGGCCTGGCCGATCGGGGCACCTGGGGCTCCCCCCAGCCCCTCCTCGCCCCGGGCACCCCGCGAGGGCAAGGCCGGGAGGCCGCCGCCGGTTCCGGGCACGAGGCCTTGCTGCAGGCCTCGCACCTCGCCGCGGCTGCCGCAGCCCCGCCGGCGGGGCGGCAGCCTCCCGGCCCGATGGGGAAGACGGAATAGCGCTCGGGGGCAGCGACGCCCGGGGCTAGCTATAGCCTGGGGCCCGGGAGCGCAGAGACAAGCACAACGTGGGCCCAACGCGGCTGCCATTTCCCCTGCCCTTTGGCGCTGCGGGCGGGCGTGAGAGAGGGCGGGGAGAGGAGGCGGAGGAGAAGGAGGAGGGAGGGGAGAAGGGAGAGGGAGGTGGCCGAGCTAGAGTGTACTGAGGCGCTCAGCTGCCAACACTCACACATCGTCTGCCGCCGGAGTCCCAGTGGTCCTGGGGAGCGAGTACAGGCGAAGAAAAGCCAGACGCGGGAGAGGAGGTTGAAGACCGCTTGGCAGAGAGAAGGAAGTCAGAGCGGAGGGAAACGTGGAGAGAGGGAGAAGGAACCTTCCTCCCCGCGCAGAGACGACTTCCCATATAGCTGGGGATAGAGGGAGAAGCTGGCGCTCAGGAACTGCGAGAGAAGCTTTCCGAGCAAGTTACCCCGGAGAGCGACGGGAAGAGAAGACAGCAGCAATCACTGATCAGAACCACTATTCCCAACCCCTCATCATTTAACCCCTGGGCGGTTCAATGCACTACTCCAGGCTCTTCCTAGTTTCCTCCTCGGGGTAACTTCCGAGGACGCGCCGCCGGTGCCCCCCGGAGGTGAGGAGAAGCGTCTCGGAAGAAGGAAGAAGTTTTGTGGGGGTTGTGTGCTGAGGAGGAGAAGATGGGCTGGAAGCGCCGCTGCTGCTGGGGAGGCGGAGGCGGCGGGGACCTTCTCTGCCGGCTCACCCTAGTGCTAGGGTTCCTGCTGCCCGCCTGCAGGACGCGCCTCTACACCAACCACTGGGCTGTGCGGATAACCGGGGGGCTCCCGGAGGCCAACAGGGTAGCGAGCAAATACGGATACGTCAATATAGGACAGGTAACCTTACTCACAACTACTTCCTAGCGGGCGCCGGCGCTGTGGCCGGCAGGCGGGCGGCAGGGTGCGCTGCCGCCGCCCTGCGCCGCCGGGACGGGGGCAAGGAAAAGGGCAAGGGCCGGGCAGCCCCGCGGCCGCTGCCCGACCCCGGCCCCGCCTCAGGCCCTGCCGCCGCCGCGGGGCGGCCCGCGAAGCCGCCCAGCGCCCCGGCCTCCCGGCGTGGGCCGCGGGAGGTGATGCGCGGGGGCAGGTATGCCGGAGGGGTTGGGGCTGTGGCCTCCTCTTACGAGGCCAGGTGTGAAGCGGGGCGCGAGGCGGGAAGGGGAGAGCGTAGGCGAGGGGCGTCCCGCCGCGGGCTGCCTTCGCGGCGGCTGAACTTCGCTCCGCCGCGGGCGCCCTCCTGCCCCCACCTTGCAAATTGAAAAGCGCCGGTACAAGAGGAGCTCGTTCTGCAGCGAGTGCCCTTCTGTCTCCCCGGCAGCCAGGACGTGGCAGCTGCGGCCGCGGGGGGCGTCCCGACCCCCGCTTTGGCGGGGCGTGCGGAAGGAGGTGGTGGCAAGGGTGTCCCAGAGCGGTTCCTGGACGTGTGGCTGCCGGCGGGGTTCCGCGGGGAAGGAGACCGCACCAGAGGGCCGGGGCCGTACCTCAGCTCACTAGATCCACACATCACACTGTCAGAAAATTCTTGGATCCAGGCAGATTTAGAAACTGCAAGTGAGTAAACACCTGGTTCTCACTGGATCCCGTCACACTGAATAATGCGCCCTGCTACAACTAGGCACAGTTCTGTATAAAATGTCCTAACATCGCTTTTTCGGATGGGGCTTATACTCAGTTTTCTAGTTATTCCTCGCAATTGCCGTCAAAATATGAGTTGTATATGTAGGATTTACAAGGTGAGTGCCGAAAAAATAAACAACTCCATTGTTGTTTACAACTTGAGTGTAAACATCCAAGTACATTCTTTCTAGACAGCAGTTTTTACTACATGAATTGAAAAGTTAGAAATAAGCATTTACAGGTACAGAAGGATTCCTTTTATACATGAAATTCACAAAAATGCAGCTGCATTTACACAGCAGGCTTTTCATATCAATCAGATTAAAGTGAGACCCGATTATTATTGTGTTTTAAAATGAGTTCCCACTTACAGCATCATTGCCTCAAAAGTCTGAAGCATATCTCCCACATGTTCCCAATCATTGCAAGCCAGAATAAGACAGCTGTGCAGTCTATTAAGATAAATAATTTACATGAGAGAAGCTGGAAAATGTCACCAAGGTAGCACAAAATACGATGTGTAAAGATGCAGTTACCTAATGAAAAAATGACTACCAACTTCTCTCTTGTAGCGCTTAGGTGAGCAGGCAGTGCTACTTCCAGTTGGATGTACAAAAATTTGGGATGAAGCTTTCATGTAAAAATTGAACTACTACCTTGAAACTACCCTTTAGGAATCCAAGCACAAAATTTTTTTACACTGATCACTTTTTTCATGTGTGTGTTATACACCTTTTACTCAAGATGTTTCTCTGTATTCCTATCTAGGCCATTATATGCCCAGTTGGTTGCAGGATGCACTTTTCTTGATTTTTAATTTTGTCAGGCTGGTTGGCCAACTCAGAGCCAGCCTTTTTATACTTTGCATATCCAGACCTTATGTTGAGTTAGGAAAGGAATATAGTGAGCCGCAATAGTTTCTTATATGTTGGTGAAAGTGCCATGCATGCAACTAGGAGATATCAATAATGGATAAATTTCTGATTGGGTATACAGATGAGAATGAGAGAAAATAGAGAATATAAATAATGAAAATTTGGAAAATACTTTACTGGGTATACAGATAAAAAGAAAGCCAATATACAGATGTAAAGAGAACCAATACCTTTACTTAGTTATACAGGTAGGGAGAGTGCAAGTCAAAGACAGATATAAGAATATTAAATGATGGATACATGAGAAAGAAAACTTCCATAATGGCATGAATTAGACTGTTGGGTTACTCCTTACCTTCTGGCTGTAACTAGTCTTTAATAAGAAGAAGCACACAATGGGCATATGTGAAGAAATTCCACAGAACTTCCTGTATGTATTTTGGAATGGAGTAACTGGGTGCTAGATGTCAACGTGCTGTGCCAACGTATAGCTTACCACTACCGTTACATACACTAAGAAGTGGTGTGCATTTGCACAAAGTCCTACACAGGTTTCCTTTCATGGCCATTGTTCAGTTTCTGATAACTTCTTGCAAAATTATCTCCAAATGGTATTTCTGTGACAGCACATTTATTATGTTGGTAGTCAATCTAATGTTTGTTCTTTTATTCCCTGCTAGTGCTTGTACAATTTTCATCATACTGCCCTGGTTGCTAGATAGAATTTATAATCTGAGAATTCAGAGTTTATAAAATAATCCAAATGGCTGTGGTCTGACCATATGTAGTTTAACACTTTAATATATATAGTTTAAAGCCTGTGTAAAATAACTATAACTGTATTTCTTATAAACAAATAAATAAAGTGCATTGTTTTCTATAAGCCTCTCAATCTCTCTTTGTAGACTGTATGTCTTGGTAAAGATGGGTAAATGGAGTAAGATTTTGGAGAAAGGGAGGAGCAGTCTGGACTGATGAGTTAGACTTGCCTGTAACAGGCTTTTTGCATATATTTGGAAAAGCAGGAAGATATTTGACGCAAAAGAGAGTGCGAAAGAAGATGGGAATAGGGCAATTACCCACTGTTTATTATTGAGAGACAATTGCAAACAATTTTAAAATCTCTTTTGTGTGAGATGTTGAAAGACATTCTCTTAATTGAATACACTATGAAAACACTGAAAGAGATAACCAGTATGCAGAATTTTCTCATATGAAAACATTGAAAGAGATAACCAATAAGTGGAATTTTTTCATAGGGTTACACAGTAGGTTTAATAATTTTGGTTAAATTAAAAAGCTCATCTCTAAGAAGAAAGTGCAAAAAGCAAAATCCAAATTCCACCAGAGCTGTCCCAAAGAACCAACTCAGTACAAATTACCCAGAAAAATAATCTAATTAAAATGTTCAAAATAAGAGGTAGTGAAACTGTATAAAAATGGAAGTCAGTTGCAAACCAGGAGTATTCTGACAACAGTTAATTGTGCGATTAGAGGTGAAGGGAATAGTGGAAAAGAGGAGTTCTGAAGGTCTTACTTTTACCAGCCATTCTGTTAATTTTGTATTTGTGGAAAAATGGCATTGAAAAGTACACGAAGTTGATCAGTGGAGACAAGATAGTAGATCCAGGAAGGCTCTGAATTGTAAACACTGGCCAACATACCTTCTTCCAGTTTTTGTTATTTAGTACATTCCTGGTAACAGGAGGAATTTAAGTTTCCTTTTTTTTGATGCTTTTGGGATTTGGAGAATGTTCAGCTGAGTCTTGAAATACCTTTCAAGTCCATATTTATTGCCATGGTGGAGCTGCAAAGGCTACCTGAATGACTGGACAAGTCAATCAGAAACAGATGGCAGAAAGGGGTGTTAAAAGAGGCCTTGAGATCACCTGCTGGTGAGTGGTAGAGAACTCCTTCTAATCACACCTTCTGCTAAACTCTTGTTGCTTTCAAACTTGTTCTGTGGTCTCCATGTCTTGTTATGGAAACTTGAAGCTTTAGCTTCTGTGTTCGTTGAAAAGAGGAGCTTTGCATTAATTTTTAGGGGACACAGCATAACAGAGAAAGAATCCCCTTTTACTCTCTTGTTTTTCTAGGCTATATGTTTTGATTCCTGTTTCCTACAAATTGCTCCAACATGCTGCTTGTTTATCTTCTGTTTCCTGTATTACCAATGTAAGGTGTGTCTCCTGTGTTTCATTGGACTTTAAAAGAGCATTCATATGTCATATCGGGATGTAAATGCATAGGGGTGACTTCCTCTTCCCCCCCCCTTCCCCAATGTATTGCAAGCTTTTCTGGCCTACCCTTGAAGTGCAGTTAGTTTCTCTAGCAAGCAAATCCTTGTCTCGTGAAAAAAACATCTGTTCTTTTTGTTTGGGTTTTCTAAGACAGTGGTCTGGACTAGCAAGCCCTCTGGGACTGCAATAAGGAAGTATAATGCAAAACAGCCAAGGAATTGTTCTAAGTTACGTGCTGGATACAGCAATTTGGGGTATAATGCATCCCCCAACAGCTCCTTGCAGACATGTTTTCTATCTTGCAGTGCTGCATAAAGCAGACCTTTCTCTTACAACAAAGTATCTGTCATTGACTTTCGGGACCGTTTCTTCCACTGTTGGTAGCTGTGAAGGATTAAGCATATAGTCTGTATAGCATGTTGTACAATTGGCTTAAATATTGTGACTACTTTGCTGTCATCAGGTGCCAAGAGTTTTTTGTTCAGGCAGTAGATTTTAATTGAAGGTTCAGGAACACAAGAAAAACAGACAGTTGATACCCCAAAGGTGATTGAATAATGGAAGAGATAAAAATATCTTATCTGTGGCTCCAACAAGGGAGATAAATACTGCATTATTTAGTTCAGGGGTAAACTTCAGATCCTTCTATTCCTTTTTTCTTTCTTAATTCTAGGCAGGGGCTGAGGATGGGTTAGCACTTTTCCAGATCACATCTTTCCTCTCCTATTAATATTTTTCCAGTAATTTTACTTTTCTGATCTCTTTCAGAACCTAGTAGCCTACTCCCTGCCCTTGACAAGTGACAGACTACCCTGTCCCTCCAATTTTCTTCCTTCAAGGAGTACACACTATAAGCCAAAAGATATCTAAGTGTGCTAATTTTGACGTGTGGCCTAGGAGTCACAGTTAGATATACAGATGTGGTTTTTTAAATAATATAAATGCTGATGTGATTTGCCAGTATGTATTCTGTGGTGGGAGGTTTTTTGGTGTTTTCTTGTTTGTTTGTTTTATGGGTTTGCTAGTTTTTTTTTTTATTTGGGGATTTATGGATTTAATGCCAGCAAATCACACAAAGAATTAGTAAATATTAGTTTGTTTTAAATCTGAGGTTCCAGTGATGGCACAGAGAAGATGTTGTGTTACAAGGTCAATTGATCAGAAGAAGTAGGAGGAATGGCTATTTTTCATTTTCCAAATGTATTCCTGATGGAAGGCTGAAGTAAATTTTGCAATGTAAATAATTCAAATTGGAAGACAAGTAAAAAAAGCATTCAATTAAGGGAAAAGGAAACTTATTTTGAGCTAAAAAGCCTAAATGAAGGCCGTTGTCTTCAGCAAAGGAAGGAATTTGCTGTTATGGTCTCCACCACTGTACATGGATGTCTCCAAAAGGGAGGATGGTAGGCCTCTGTGTGCAAAGTTCAGCTACCCCATAATATAGGCAGATAATAGAAGAGACATACACCTTAAGAGCCTGGGTGGTCACAGCATTGAAACAGAGTATACTCTTAGTAAAATTTAATACCTGTAATAAGTTTAATGAAGCTCTGAGTATTAAAGAGACAGGTATTAGGACTATGGTATCAAAAGCATTAATGTTAGGTGTACTCCTAAGCTGTATGCGCATGCAGATATATATAGTGGGGTTACACAGATACACCATGAAAAATTGAATTTTCTCTTACTCAGAGCAGAAAAAAAAGTACATTTAGGGACTGGTAGAGAATAGCCACCAGATAGAAAAATATTTGAAAAATGCAAGTCTGAAACAAAATTTTTCTAAATGCTCACATGCCACAGAACCAGTATACCTGCAAATACTGGAGACT